CTAAATTACTTTTCAGCTTCTAGTGGCTTTGGTTGACATTTCAGGGAATTGCTTTTAAAATTAAGAAACACTAATTATTATTGAAACACTCGTAAGTATTTCTATAATAACTTCTTATTGCTGCACAATACACTTAAGCTAATTTGTAATTGTTGCCAAGAGTAAAAGCTGACTAATATTGTTTCTAAATAGCATTATTATTTCACAAAAATAAAAATACACATCACTTACTCTGTTTCTATTTTTTTATTACAAGTATGATTCTATCTAAGAGTCAAATGAATCATGGGATCCACAAATATAATTCACATTTATTTGTATTTCATTGTTGCTTTAGAGTTTAAACAATTTAAGCTGTTGATTTATTCCTAAATATTAATAAATTTTTGGTTTCTGTGTTGAGGTGTTTTTCAAACCGTAACGTTATCAGATGTTCGGGATCGGCGAATTTTTTTAAAATGTGTAAAAAAGTTACTAACAATTTTCCCAAAACCGAAGTTTATTAGAGATATTTTTTTTTATAAATTTTGAAAACTGCTTAAAGTTAATAGTTCAAAATTTAATAAATTAATTTATTTAATTACTCTGAACTTCTACAGAACTTAAATCATAACTAGAAGATCTTATTATGGTGCTGAAAAATATTGAAACACTATCCTTTATATGGTAGGTTAACCATTAAAGTACTGCTCTCTATAGGGTCAATTATTCCCCTCGACCCCTTATAGCATTTTGAGAACTATACTATGTAATATACTCGTATGTGAACAAATGGATCGATTGTACAATTTCACAACGAAGTAAAATTGAATGTAGAACAAAAGAGAATGAATCAAGCGACAAATTCACAGTCATTTCATTTAGCAAGAAATAGATATTAGAACAAAGGCACACCAAGTAAATACATACATACATACATACATACATTCATAAAAAAACACATTTGTATATGTATGTATTCGATGATGAGAGATAAAGCTAGCGCGCAAATTGTTAACCAAGGTCAATATTATATACACGAATGTACATACATACATATGTCTATACTCATTAAAAAGGAAAAAACCAAGCCAAATATTTGTTTCATAAAACCAAACGTAAGCACATAAATAAGTGTTAGTAAGTATGTATGTATATATATGTACATACATATGTATACATCAGTATGCCTCTGATAGAAAAATAAATAAACCACCAAGAACTTTCAAAGAATTCCCCCAGCAGCAGCAGCAGCAACAACAGCAACAATACGAGGCACAACAATAGCAACAACAATAATAACAAGCGGCAAACGGCAACCGGTAGGTAGAAGCGAATAAAAATGGCGGATCGTTTGCAATATGGCGTACCAAAGAAGGAAAGTGTAGGAAGGGGGGAGGGGAGGGTGTCACGCCAACGCTGCCGAAATTCTCTTTTTTTCGTTTTGGCAATGCATAGATACAGATACAGCCGATTCGGCGGTAGATACACAATAAATATACAAACACACGCACGCACACATTAACGCATATTTGCGCACCGCTTTTTGGAACCGGCTTTGCGTTAGAATATCTGTATCTATATGCATGAGTATGTATCTCGCAGATACATAACCATTTTTTTGCGCCGTTTGCGTTTCAATTTTTGTGTATTTTTTTTTTCGGTCTGTGTGTGTTTAATATGAAATTTAATGGGGTAGGCAAAGGGTCTTTTGATGATGACGGCGGCTAACGACGACAATGCTTTTCGATTTCGTCTTTTCAAAAACCATCACGTGACATTTGATTTCAATGATAACTTTAAAATAATGTACGATTATATGTACATATGTATGTCCATTTGTGTTTGGTTGATTGGCAACTGAAGCATTAATCACACTGCTGGACATTGTACAGGTTCAACAGAAATCCGATTAGGTTTATCGTCAACTAAGTATTTTGGCAAGACATTTTACTTTCAGCGAATTTTTAATTCCTTTTGATAAAGGCTTTTGCAGCTGGTGCCATTTATTTTATATATGACAGCCACTTAGGCGATAACATTAAAAAGCAACATTTTAAGGCACTTGGGAGCACTCTCATATCAAACTTTTCGGTTGACTCAATCAGTATTTTAACTTTCCATTTCAACATCGGAAATTGTATGAAAACATTCAAATGTTGAATATTTAATGATTCGCATTTTAATGATTGTAAATTAAATGTGGAGCTTAGTATAATTGTTTCTAAATGCAATTAGGAATACAAAAAAAGATTTACTATATATTATATAGCAAGTTTGAGAATTATTTTCGTTGCAATAACAATTGAAATGATCTTCTCAATCAAGTATCTATCTTCTTCTTATTAGCAAAATAAATGAAAGTTTAATATAAGTTATAATTGGGATATATGTACATAGACAAAGAATCAATCTGCCATAAAATTGTATAGAATCCTAATTGTATTTCATTTCTCTTTAAAGAAATTCTCTTTTGAAATCGCAACTCGTTCTGTCAACATCAAACTTCTCAGATGATACTGCATATTATCAATTCGATAAGGATCTGAGTTAATTTCCGCGTTCTGTCAGCCCATTTTTTCTGCACAAAAGACACGTAAGTTTCGTGCACAGCCTACGCGTATTGTTTGCGTCAACTATGATAGTTGCTGGTTTTTGAATTGTTTATCACATTCTTGTGTGGAAGCGCAAGGTGGAATGATTGGCATTTTGTTCAATTAAATCCATGCCATCAGTATGATATGACAAAACAGTGATGTCTCGCAGCTGTTTTCCGGCTAAGCTGCTCACGAATTTGCCATGTGCCGCCAAGCACATTTCAGCGACCTTTATCTACAATCTGAGCCCAAATCAAGTTCTTGAATCTCATTCATAAAATCAGCTGCGATTGAGAAAAGCTTCCAAGTTGCATGCAAACATTCCGAACAGTGACGATAATGAAAAGTGCCCCCCACACCCATCTAAATGGCTGACTTGTCGGATCGACGACTCTGGCTGCCTGATAAGCGTCGAGGGTGGAACGTGAATGAACGCAGCTAGCCCACAGAAAAGTATTGGTTAACGCTAACCGACCAGACCCGCTTCACCCCGGCCCACCTAAAAACTTGGAATTTTGATAACAGTTACCAACAATAGGGTAACGGCACTCGGTTCTTGTTTTATAACAATTTCCTGTACACAGTAATACTAACTACCTTCGTTTACTTTTCTCCTATACTGGTATACGAGTAAATGCTCAAAAGATTAATCGGGTCCACAGTTCTCGTATCAAAATAGCGAGTTGAAATGTTTTGCGTTTGTTTTTGTTTTCCTCTATTATTTTTCGGGGGTCGACGCTGTTACTGACCTTCAGACACAAAATTAGCAAATATATAAAATACACACTCTCACGCATACTAACAAATCTTTGGATATACCGATGGATGGAAAACAAAACCACGGCTATCATAATTTTTTTTATCGCAAATAAATTGCGCAAGTCTGCGGCAAAAGATAGAAGGTTCCAAATAGAAAATCGCCCATTAAAGTGTGCGTGCCCATGTATCGTTAAGGTATGTATATAAGTAGATGAAAGGTCTTTTTATATGGCTTTCGTATAGACATTGTAATTGCATTGAACTTTGGATGCCTTGTCGATAATCAGCGATGATATATGTGGCAAGGGAAAATTAATGTCGTACAGAAAAAATATGAGAAGTGACAGGTCAGCCGAGCTATGTATAAGCAACATTTTTAAGTAATAATTCTCAAGTACAATTTTTGAATCAGCTTCCAAAAATTACAGCAAAAGAGCTATGAGTTTGAGCACATTATATTGTTCCAAGCAAAGAACACATTTACTATATAAATCGAATAAGCTAGAATCAAATCAATTAAAAACTTAAAAAAGAATTTTCCGAGAATGATTCGAGGCCTTTGAACTAAAAAGGCAAATTAACATAAGCTATATATTTTCAAGCCATAAAAGAAGTCTCAAAAATTTGCAAGACAAGTCCTCAGTGGAAAAAGTCAATCCAGTTTTAAAAATAGTTTAGATAGTTTTCGAGCAAACTTAATAAGATTGAAGACACAATGTGCAAATATATTAGTAATATATCTTGTCTAAATATTCCATTATATTTCAAAATTGGTAAATATTTTAAAAACCAATATGAAAACATTTTAAGCCAGGTTCAGATGCTTTAAATATTTACTCAAAGCGCGATCATATTATAGTTCAACTTAGTTCAAAACTATTTGTTAATTTCACTAATCTGTGCAATCAAACTTGTTCTAAACGTAACGAACCTACCCAGTCGCTATATCATTTGCCGTCTAATCAATATTGTTTATCATTGCTAATTACCGAGTTGGTCGTGTGATCCTTGAAGTGTTTCTGTGATTTTCTAACGGGTGTGACTCATTGAGCCTATAGAATGACTCATGGGTAGGCCCTAAGTATGCAGACATGTCATGGCCATTATCGAAATCAAGAAGTTGGCATAAGAACTATAAAGCATTAAAATGAGTCACCAACGGGGTATTACAATCTAAAATTTAATTAGGCAGTGTTTGGACATTTAAATGAAAACAAAAACTATGTTTTAAGCTTGCAAAGACTAGAAAACATGTAGTATTTCGTAGCGTTAAGTATACGCAATGTGGGCTTGAAGATAATATTGTTTGTTTTGAATAAAACGTGATGATTTGTTTTAAGTAACACGTTCGTTATTTGCAATAGATTCGAACATATTTCATCATTCAGAAAATTTATTAAGCCATAAGTGAATATTGATCCTATAAAATAAAAAGTTTGGAATATTTTATTTTTATTTATTAACTATTCAATAGTTGGTAAAAATTAAATGTAAAGAAGACAAATTCCTAATTCTGCATTTCAATTTTGATTAATACTTTCTTTTCTATTTAAGACTGTATATTTCCTGTATATAAATTTGTTTTCCCTTCTAAAAATATATTCAGCTAAAAATAGGGGTTCTATTTCCATAAACGATATTTATTTTAAGGAATTTTTAACTTACCATAAAAACAGGACGAAATCCACAATGTTTTTTGTTACTTGTATTTAGATAATCCAAAAAATGCGTAAACGGGTAAATTTGTGTTCACCTTACAAAAAAAGTGTTCCTTTTATTCTTGGTATTAATTATTAGAATATTTATTTCAATATATAACTTGTTGCACTGACTGAACGTCCAGACACGGGAATCGATCAGCGGCAAGTGGTTAGAACTTTTTCACTGTTGCGCACTCAACTGCTCGCAAACTGCCGTTCCGTAATCGGTAGATTGTGCACATACATACATATATGTATGTATTTATATATATGTTGTTATATATATGTTTGTATCTGTTTCAGTATTGTTTGCCGAGCCGCACGTAAGGTCTGCACCCAATGTTGACCAATTACAAAATAATTCTTAGCGCCAACCGCAACCAGGCGAGGGATTGAGCGTTAGAACGATACTGCGACGATGCGATAAAAAAAAGAGTCGAACAAGCAAGATGATCATCTAACGTTTGAAAACTGAGAGAGGGCTGCCAAAACTGTTCTTCTTGTTGTTGTTAATTCAGAACGACGACGACGTCGGGAGGCGAGAGCAACCGAACAAGTGAGCTTTATAATTGCGACTGCCTCGTGTCCGTGGGTGCCTCTGTGTGTGTGTATGCGGGTGTGACGCGCACTGTGTGTGAGAGCTTATTTAATTTCTTGCCTCCTCGGCTCGCTTCGGCTCGTTTTTTCGGAAGGGGCAGCAGCTGTTGTTGTTGCCTAAGGTTTTGCCTGATTATAAAATTAATTTTCAAGTTTAATTTTTGCCTTTGGTGTGGTGTGTGTTATCGTTCCTTCAGTTGTTGCTTTTGCGAATTTCCGTGTGCGCTTTTTCTTTGACGTTGTGTTGTCTCTATGTATGTATGTGCGTGCTTATTATCTCTTTCTCGATTCGTATTAGTAGCTGCGCGTCTACACGGGCACTATTGTTATTGTTTTATTAGACGTTTGTTGTTGCTCACATACACGCCACTATAAACAATATTGACCTAGGTTTACGGTTTACGTTACGCATATTTGATGATTGCGAAGCTTTTGTTGTTGTTGTTTATTTGGCATGTAACAATAAGTTATTGTTTAGAATAGAAATGTTCTCGTTTGCTTGGTAAAATGCTTATCTGTTTTGCACACACAATTATTCATTACTTAATTAGCCATATGGTTTCAAGTAATTAACGTCAACGTTCAATAATATTAAACACAATTGTTTCTATTTTTCAATTTATCAATTGTTTTTCCGCAGTACATTGATTATTTTATTATTAAACTTTATTTAAAATTCATTAATTCGCATTAATCGCAAACAATGATTATCAGTCTTTGATTTAGCACTAAGAAAATATTATTAATTTAAAAAAAACACACACATGCACACATTAATTGGTTTAAAAAATTGCACTTTAGTTAAGATAAATAAAATTTTTGACTAAATGGTTCCTGTGCAGTTTGCTGCAATTTTCACATATTCCCTAATATACGAACATAAGGCGGAGAGATCGATTTAAATTTTGTGTCGTTGATTATTTCACTTAAATTTGTGGTTTTTCTAATATTTACAGCTTGTATATTTGTGGATTTTTGAGCACAAAGAACAAGCAACAAAAATATTGAATTATACTAGAACAGTTAATGTTCTTTTTCTCTTTTTATTTTGTTGCTGATTGCTTTCGAACAGTGTGTAAAAGCGTTGTTGTCGCGTCGCCAGCTCAACGAGAAATACGAGAAGCAATGGCGACGCGTCGCAGTGAACAAAAATCGTCGAGAACGACGAGGCGGAAAGCAGCGACAGCGGCGACAGCAGCGACCGAGGCAGCAACGCTTGCAGCGCAGTAGCGTAGGCCGGCTCTCATGTACATAGCAACTTTTTGCGGCTTTTATGTGCATGTGTGTGTGTATGTTCGGTTTCTCAGTACTCGAGCAGTTCTCAACTTACTCAATACAATTTTTATTATGATATCTGCGTATGTATATAAATACATGTACATATATGCATGCTTTTATACATTTGAATGTACATACATATGTACATGTACGAAATTTATCGGCGGTTGATTTTTCTGTATTGTTGTTGTAGCAATTTTGTTACCAACCTTTTTATTCATCATTCTGAGCAACCTCTCGACACAAACAAGTATTCTAGCTAGCATAAATTTTTGGAACTTTAGAATCGAAGCTTCAGATATTTATGGAATTTAATGCTATAACCACAATCCCTTATCTCTAATTACTTTCAAAAATAACATCTGGCAGCTCTGCCAAACATTAGACGAATGTATTAATAATTTCAACAGTAATCTCTATTTTAACTTCGATTTTAAATATACGCTCCATTTTCTAAACCATTATTCAGAGAACCGATCATCTACCTCTAAATTATTGTTTGAGATCAGAATAGGTGCAATCGGTGTATCATTATGCATACATACATATGTATATATTTGTAGATTCAATAATTAAAAACGTATTTGAAAGATAATAAACGGAGCTATATATATACTCGTATTTGCAGCGATCATTTTTTCACAGTTACCACAAAAAGTTGGCGCATCATCGGTGCTTAAAAGAACAAGAAATTTATCTAATATTGATATAAATCATTATTTACTACTTAATTTACAAACACAACCAGCTTTACTTTAAATATCGATTAGGATAGATTAGGAAATACTACATCAAACCTCTGTTACTGAACTATTTCGTTTAACCGAAAAGTAATAAGATATGAATAGAGCCAGTATTTCTCAAACGAAGGTAACGTCGTCGACACTTTGATTTCTGAAATTAGTTATTCATCTAAATCAAGTCAAAATCAATATAACGGTTTAGGAACACATTCTTTTATGATCAAGTGTTGGATATTTTACACAGAAAAAAACATACATATACATATGTATATACATACATATATTTCCCCAAATAAGTTGGGGGCAAGTTTGAAACATTAGTTCGATTTCATCTAGAAGTTCACAAACATCAGACGTGGAGAACAGCTATAATGCGTACTTTATCGCCAATTTTGGGGCTGCTCCTGGCAACAATCGTGCTACTAAATCAGAATGTAACTTGCAAACTCTTGCAAACTAATTTCGTATTTAATTGAAATTATTAATATTTCCAGCATGCTGCCTTCTTTAAAATAACAAATGCTGTTTGTGAATCTCTAAATAAATCATGGATTGAAATTGAATACTGTCGGATAAAAGCGGTTCATCGCAACAAAACCACTTTAAATATAGTAATTAATTATTTGCATCCGACCAACAATATCGACCTCAGACTTCAAGTAATGAAGAAAGCAAATGGTTACAAGCCATGGCTAATGGACTATAAGGTCGACTTTTGCGAATTTGTTCGAAAAAAAAACCATCCGGGTGTGAAATTGATATTTGGCTTCTTTCAGAATTTTACAAATTTCAATCATACGTGTCCGTATAAGGTATGTAAAAAGATTGTACTTTTTAAATAAAATATATTACGATTTTACTGCAGGGTGTTATCATTCTGAAGGACTTTTTCTTGGATCCTACTAGAATTATGCTACCATGGCCAACGGGCGATTATCTTCTGATCATGACCTATACCTTCGATAAAAAGCCACAATATATGATACGTACTTATTTCACGTTTGTTGAGGATTTTAACAGAAAATATATTGCTAAGTAAGAAAATAAAATTAAAGTTCCTTTAAAACCACAATAAGGTGTTATTAAAATATACGTACTTGATTTTGTAAACAAATGATTAGCCCCCTGTCTTGAAATCTAGTTAATAATACTTACTAGCAGTTTTTTGTAAGCCCAGATAGTCTTTTTTTTGTTTTCTACATATGTATGTACTTCCCCTACCCCCGTGCTCAAAGAATGCAGCCATTATTTGGTTGTTTTATTCACCATAGCTGTTATTGTTGTTGCTGGTGCCGCTGCTGCTGTTATTAAAACAGAGTATTGACCTGTGATTTCTTTTGTGATGGCGACAACAACGACGACGCCGATGCCGATGCCGACGCTCCAGAACCCACAGACCATAAATGTTGCTCTTTGAAGAAAGGGAAGAAAATAATGCCGTGTGTAAAATTAAAATTATTGTGCATAAATAAACGCGCCACGAAACGCAACGACACAAAAATTCGGCGAAAAAATTAAGAAATTTAAATAAATGCACCGAAAAAAAAAAACGAATAAGAAGAAATGAGACGCGCAACTTTCGAGCAGAGCCTGTGCAGCAGACGATTGTGACGCGGGCAGAGATGCGGGAGTGAGCATTTCCGCTGCTGCTTGTGCTGCTGCTGCCTCTACTGGGCACGTATAATGATATATATGTATGTATGCAATGCATGTGTATGTGTGTGTGGGTGAGGGCAGGAGGAGAAGCTGCAATAAATTCAGTTGAGCAGTGCAGCAGCAGCAGCAGCAGCAGCAGCACAAGCAACCCCTTTTTTGCACGACCAATACCAATACCAATGCCAACAACAACACTCACTCAAACCCAACTTGTCTGGTCTCCGCAGCAAATTCAATGGCGACGTTGATGGCCACAACGACGCCGGGCTACAAAGGGCAGCTTCAACGCCGGCAGCGACGCAGACAGCGCTGCCTTTGCCTTGGCTGCCGCCTGCAATGCTGCCAGTTGGCCACGTGGAGGTCGTGCAGCGGCTTTCAACAGCTGTGAGGCAATGCCACTGTTTTCGACACATGCTGCACATGCACAATATACACACAGATACACACATATATATACTATACCAATATGTATATGAGTGTGTATACAACATGCACACTTTCTTGTCGTTGGCAAGCAGGAGGCGGAGGCAGAGGAAAGTGTCGTGCGGCGTGCGCTTGCGTTTGTTGCAGGGCGACATGTACATATGTAAATAATTTGTACAAATGTGTGTGTGTGCGGCGTACTCGTGTGTCTGTTAAATACGAGATACTTACATACATATATACATAAGCAATATGTTGTGGCGCATTCGTTGTTGCGACTGTTGCATGTTGTTGTCAGCAGGTTGTGTGGTTGAGTCATCAACGTCTTGCCAACTAGAGACATTTACAATTAGGATAATGAAGCTTTATTCGTTAAATTCGCATTAATATATCAGTACGCCGATGCTACTAATTCTTTGCCAAAGATTAAAAAAAAAGGATTACAAAAGCTATTTTAAAACTGAATAGCAGACAATGGACTAGATGAAAAATTACTAAAATGTACTACTTTTTAAAATTTGATAAGTAGCTATAAAAAATTAAACCTAAATTAAAAACCTAAAAATGTAGAAACATTTATTTAGTCGATTGGGGTAGCTTGATTTTAAATGGATATCTTGAAATATCCTGTATTTGGGATCCATTTATTTATTTTATTTAAATTTTATTTATTTATTAGCCTTCCAATTACCTTTTAATCTTCGAAGCCCCATTTAATCTTGTATTTTGTAAGATGCCAGTGCTCAAGTCTCATGAACTAATTTAAAGATTGTCCTTTTAGGACAGATCTTAAATAAATCAACAATTACAAAAAATTAACATCAGGCAAAGTTTTTCTTATAGTTTCTTAAAATTGGATTCATTTCCGACACCGCGAAATCCGGGATCGAAAATTCCGATGAATATAAAAAAAGCAAAGTCATGGGAATAACAAAGTGTGTGCCTCGTGTCATTGCCCTTTGTAGGAACCTCTATTCTAGGTTCATGTACCCATACAGACGGATGTATCAAAGTTTAGACTACATAAAAAATATCGTAATAATGTTAATTATATATAGCGTTTAGTTTGTGAGATCTCTCGCTGCCAATTTTGGCAGCTAAAACGAATTCAGAAGGCCGTCAAAGTCCAACATCTGTTTTATCCCACATATACCTACTATAGGTAAATGGCCATTAACAGCTGAATAGTTGCGATAAAAAATAATTACAGATGTCGACATATGCGTTCAAAGTGTGCTTATTTTATTTTTTGACAATGACTATGAAAATATTGTTGGACGACGTAATATTTCTATTGAACTTACGAATGGTCTAAAACTACAAAATTTCTAACACTCGTAATTGTTGTACGACTATAAACAGAAAATATTTCAAAATACGTGCTATATAGACATATTGAGAAGAAATATTGCTTAAAACCTCTTTAAACCTAGTATATCTTTAGAAGAATATACGAGAAAGTATGTATGTATGCAGCTATACGATAAAGAAGATATCATTCTATCTCATTCCAATTCCCAACTAAATTTAATTTATTGATTTGATACCGCTCTCTGGAACT